CTGATACGTATACAAGTCCTTATATTCTGTAGCAAGTTTGAGCTAATTCTAATCAAGTTTGGATTTTTTTATGAATTTTAAAAGTTGCTCCAAATGCCATGTACTGTATTGTAGTGCTTGTCAGCTCATGAAGCTCATGCTGTTTGGCTCACTTAGCATGCTTTGTGGGGAAACCCTGGATTTAGCAAATGTACATTAATACATCTCACCATTTTTCTTATCAATCAACCACTTGTCCCTAGCATACAGGACAGTATCAAGCATAGACTCAAATAAAAGGAAGTACCCCATCCATTCTGATATCAACACATCAACACTATCAACTGGTAGCCTAACACTCTCCACTTCTCCTCTTATAAATGTGATTTTATTGTCAACCCCATTCTCTCTCGCTAATCTCTACTGCTTTGTGTATGATTGGTGATTGGTCTATTGCAAATACGTGACTAGCGCCAGCTTTAACTGCAAAGAGGGAGAGAATACCAGTACCACAACCAATATCAAGAACAACTTGTATAGAAATAAAATGAGAGAGAGGGAGGAAGGGAATAAAAAGAGACAAGAAAGGCTGATAACTACATGTACATGTAATTATACTTTATCTTTAAATATTTCAGTGTTTTTAGTAATGAATAATTCATAAGAATCCATTCTAACTTCATCCTAAAAAGGAAAGAGAGAGAATGAGATGAACTTTAGGTGAACATACATGTACATGTATATGTAAATAGGCACAGCACGCTATCACAGTTCTTAGCCATATGTATGTATAAAATGTACATGTATACATTTAAAATTACTTTGAGCATCTCTTCATGAATGCCATGATGTCCATAGTTGCTAAAGTAACTGTCCTTCTCCTCAACAGCAGTCTCCATGGTAGCATCAGGATCAGTGCTACTGGTTGTTAATTCTCTCATTGTTTCTCTAAAATAAAAGAAGGAGGAACAAGAAAGAAAAGACAAACAATAAAGAAGAAAATTAAGAGACAAAGGGAAAAAGAGATGTATATATACATTCATAAAAGGAGGATAAAGGAAGAGAGATAGAGGCTCTTCTGTACTTCATCTGGTTGAGGTCTTTAAGAACATTGTCTAATGCAGTTCTGGTAAGTAGGAGCTGCTTCTCAGTGAGCTCCAGTCTGAGAGAGAGAGAGAGAGAGAGAGAAGAGGACAAGAAAGGAAGAGAGAGAAGATGGAAATAGTAAAAAATGAGGAAAATATAATGGTGTACAAATCAATTTACATGTACATGTGCATGTATGCAATAGGACTCTTGAAAACTCATTGTTTCCCATAAAGCATGAAACAACAAAATTCATAATTTTTTTTAAGTTTAAAATTCATAAAAAATTGAAATTTGATTGGAATCAGTTCAAACTTGCTATACACAACATAAGAACATGTATATACATCAGAAAAAATTCTTAAGATGAAGAATTCTTTCCCAGTCATTTTTGGCGAAATTTGGCCAAAAACCCTGTACTATAGTACAGGGACTTTGGCCCGATTTTTGAGTAACTTTTAAAATTCGTAAAAAATTGAATTTTGGTCGAAATTAGCTCAAACTTGCTACGCAACATAAGAACATGTATATGCATCAGAAAATATTATAAAAATGAAGAATTCTCTCGTAGTGATTTTTGGCGAAATTTGACTGAAGACCCTGTACTATAGTACAGGGACTTTGGCCTGATTTTTTAGTAACTTTAAAAATTGATAAAAAATCTAATTTTGGTCGGAATCAGCTCAAACTTGCTACACAACATAAGAACACATATATGCATCAAAAAATATAATAAAAACAAAGAATTCTCTCCTAGTCATTTTTGGCGAAATTTGACTGAAGACCCTGTACAGGGACTTTAGTCCAATTTTTGAAAATCTTGATGTAACTTATACCTTTCTTTAAGACTTGTGTCTCCCCATTCTTCAATTTTTTCCTCTTCCTCCTCCTCCTCCTCCCAGTCTATTTGCAGTAATGGATCATCAGGTACTACTGGTACAAGATACTCTTCACTCTCAAAATCTTCAACTCTCAATCCTTTAACATCAGCCACTGCTGGACTCTATCCATTAGTATTATGACACAATAACTGTCATTGATATTATTAGCTACATGCACATGTATAGCTGGAAAAATTTATGC